TTTTTTTTCTTTAATGATTTGGACCGGGATATATATGTATATATATACTAATTATGCTCTTCACACAAGAGAGAGAGAGAGAAATTAACTGTGTGTTACACAAAAACGAGTTACCTTTGTCGCCAAGAAAAATAGAAATTTGGATATTTTTAAAAATTAATGCTACTTTGAATTGTGTTCCAGAGCGTTTTGTATTTGTTTATCACCGACATTGTCTTGATATGGTAAGCTTCTATCATGGGGGAATTAATTATTAATTTCTTTTTGTTGCCTACTAAGGCATGTAAAAATACTGAAACATTTGTAATAATATTCTGATGCAAGTTATAAGGTGTTTCTCGAATCTTGCAACACAATATTACTCCACGAAATGGATATTTGAGGTTTCTTTATTGCGACAAGTTTTAGTGTTTTAAAGAAGAAAGGGACACGTTCAAACAGTTACTACGAGATGGATGAGGTACAAGGAACATTTAAATAGTTTTATCATGCGATCAAACCTCCTTGGAAGCAATTCTAAAACTTACCAGTGTCGTGCTAGCTTGATCAAGGCAGGCTGAATGGATGGAAAAGTTCTGGGAAAAATTAAAATTGATTCCCGTGTAGAACGTAATAAACCTTGCCTATCGCTATGATTTGGACCGGGATATAAAAATTGTTTAATTATGTTCTTTAGACAAGAAAGAGAGAGGGGGAAGTTAACTGTACGTTTCACAAACACGAGTTACCTTTGTCGCCAAGAAAAATAGAAATTTGGTGATTTTAAAAATTAATGCTACTTTGAATTCTGTTTTAGAGCGTTTTGTGTTTTCTTTATCACTGCCATTGTCTTAATATGGTAAGCTTCTATTATGGGGGAATTAATTATTAGTTTCTTTTTGTTGCTCATTAAACCATGGAAATATACTGAAAACTTTGAAAAGCATTCTGACGCAAATTATAGGGTGTTTCGAAACACAAAATGGATATTTGAGGATTCTTTATTGCGACAAGTTTTAGTGTTTTAAAGAAGAAAGGGACACGTTCAAACGGTTATTGCGAGAATGATGAGGTACAGGGAACATTTACAAAGTTTTACCATGGAATTAAACTTTCTTGACTCGGAAAGAAATTTGAAAACTGAACGGTGTCGTGCTAGCTTGATCAAGGCAGCCTGAATGGATGGAAAAGTTCTGGGAAAAATTATCGTTGATTCCTGTGTAGAATGTAACATACTTTGCCTACAGCTATGCTTTGCATTTGTACTGCATTGTATATCTGAGAATCACTTAATGGGTGGCTGTGAAGGAGGCAATTACGTCATGGTATCAACTGAGAAGAATTAACTTTGAATAGTACAGTGATGATGAATAAAAATATCTCAAACAGGTTAAACTAACCAGGGAGAAACAAATCGCGGAGTGGCGGAAGTATACAAAAATGCAAATGACTAATTCGAAAACGTCAAAGCAAGTTTTTCAAGATGGAAATCCATTACTCAGTTGACCTTTAATTTCATTATGGTTAGGAAGACTTCCTGTCGCCAATACGATTTTAATATATGCAATACTTTAGCAGTTTCTTTTGGTTTCTTTTTTCGAAGTTTTTGCTTGACTAGTTCTCAATAAGCATGACCTTGTCACTGTTCAGTGAATTTAAGGGTCTGATGATAACCAGTTTTTCCCTCAGCTGTTCCTATTATTTATGACGATTGTTTGTATCATAACTTCAGCTTCGTGGGGTGCCAAGGATAAATTATGTATCAGAACTTGTAAACAACCTAGCTCGGAAAGTAATTGATTTTGAACTGACACCGTTCACCGATCGAGATAATGAGTAACGCGTCGTTAATCTCCGGCGGGTGAGGAATCAGGCACACACTCCGACCTGTATGGTAATAAGAATAAAACCTGTGCCTTCCCCTTTGTATTGTCAAGTTTATACACGGTAGCTTGATGAATGTTTGATCAGGTATTAGACAACTTCGAAATTTGGGTCATTTTGTATTTTACAACAGGCTCCGTTTTATCCAGAAATCTTCTCCTCTGTAATATGCAATTACTTTATTTTTTTTTTCTGAGATGGCTCCTCCTTTCCGAAGTTCATTCAAAATTAAGATAAACCATTCCACAATTCAAACATGGCGATACAAGTGTTATCCTTAAATCTTTGACGTTCCGTCTAGAAACCGTGAGCTGTTTATATAACATTGCTTGGTTGGATTAAGACTCTAAAACGCACCTTCTCTTTTCCCTTATCTCGGGTGTCTAACTGGCTTTCTCAACTCTTTCTGGAGAGTTTTCTTTAAAACCATCTTGTGGGTGGAGGGCAGGTGAGGAACTGAACTGACACTATGTTTCCGCGCGGAAATGGTGTAACTAATGAGGTGTCAAGATAAAGTGTCTCTGATAAAGCATGAAAATTAGTTTCCACGAGGAGGTCTTCCAAAGTTCAATATCAAATTGTCCTTGTTTGGGAGCTAGTTGCAAACCTATTTTACAACGGTTGGATCTATCGAGGCCACCTACTGTTATTTTTTAATTACGTTCCCTTCTAGCTAAATAGTGTCACGAGAACAACGGTCACATCTTTTTTTTAACACGGTGCGAAAGCCGACCGAAGTCGGTTAATTTGCGTGATGCAAATTTTAAAAGTAATCACTAGTGAATGACGGCGTTCAAATTAAAACGAGTATTTCTATTCCAGAGTGTGCATCAACTCGCTGGAATGATGCTTCCAGTTGTACAGAGAACACATGTGCTTCTTGCCAGCTTCTTTCTGATGATTGCCACTAATTTTCCCTTACAAGCAGGAGGCTCTTCAAAAGACATCATCGGTAAGTTTTATCCCTTGATTGTAAAAAAATCCAGGCGAAAGCTGTTAAAAATTATCTGTTCTGTTCAATTAGCCATCAAAAAAATGTGAAAGCTTCTATGTAATGTAGGGGCAGAATTATGAACGTCTTGAGAAACTGCTCTTCTTTTGTTTTCCGGCTATAACCTATTTTTCGGTGATACAGAGAATCGAAGTGTAAGGTGAAGTATGTACGTACAAAGGCTTCTAGGATAGAATAAAAGATGGCGTTCTTTGCAGAACACGTGTGGTAGTTTGATTCACAAACAACACAACATGGTGGCAGCAGTGGGATCTTTTCAATCAGGTTTAAACTGAAGGAAAATTAGAAAAAACGGAAATATGGGAGACCCTGTCCCAGGCGAAGCTGGAAATCAAGCTGTTCAACAGCCCGTAGTTGAAGAGCCGAACGAAGATGTCGTTTACCCAGCACGGCTTGCACAACAACAAGCCGTCATGCTTGCACAGCCTACGGTCCAACAGATCGCTGAGGCAAATTATCCAGTTCCACCGTCGGAAAAATTCAGTTTTAAACCCGACGAGTGTTTCGAACGATTTCGAAAGGCGAATGGCCTCGACCAAAAGGACGGTGAAAGCCAAGTAAACACTTTAATTTACTCGATGGGAGAAGAAGCTGATGACATTATTGGCTTTATAAGCAAAGTTGTATGACGTCGTGAAAAGCAAGTTTGAAGCTCATTTTGTTGTTAAGAGAAAAGTAATATTTGAAAGAGCCAAATTTAACTCGAGAAGTCAACAGGATAGTGAGTCCGTGATTAATTTCATAACAGATTTATATTGTCTACTTGAATAATGTGAATTTGGAACATTTAGAGATGATCTAATCCGGGACAAAATCGTTGTAGGTTTAAAAGACAAAAAGTTCTCTGAACAGCTGCAACTTGATCCCAAACTGACTTTAGAGAAGGCAGTTATTAAGGCTAGGCAGTCTGAGACAGTGAAGAAACAACAAACTTTCTTACAGGAAAACAAGTCTGAACAACCACCAGTTGACCGCTTTTCTAATGGAGCGGGAAAAGATGCTAAAACTAAACCAAAAGATCCAAAGAAGCCCCCTAAGCCTAGCAAAGGGACAGAGAAGAATCCTGAAACACAGTGTTCAAGGTGCCTGAGTCCACCACACCCAAAGAGACGATGTCCAGCCAAAGAATCTAAATGTATCAAGTTCTCCAAAGTAGGACATTGGGCAAAGGCTGGCAAATCTCGATCTGACAAGAGAGTAAATGAAGTCCCCTTACCATTGTATCAGAACACAAAAGAAGAATCGGATAGAATGTTGGAATCAAGCGTCATATCCAACGTTGACGAGCCCACGGATTGATGTGCTCCCATGGTGGTTGCCCCAAAAAGCAATGGCAAAGTCAGGGTCTGCTTAGGCCTTAGCAAGCTGAACGAGTACGTCAAAAGAGAGAGCGACCCACTTCCAGCAGTAGACACAACTCTGAGAAGATTGGCAGGTTGCAAAGTCTTCTCAAAACTTGATGCAAACCCAGAATTTTGGCAGATAAAGCTTGCATGGGAATCAAGACAGCCGACCACATTCATCACTCCATGGGGCCGATTCTCCTTCAATGTTCTACCCTCTGGTATCAACTCTGGTTCTGAAAAATTCCAGAAGAACATGAATCAGATTCTTCAGGGATTAGAGGGCGTAGAGTGCAACATAAGTGACGTTTTAGTTCACGGAAGAAACCGAGAGGAACATGAAGAAAGACTTGAAACACTTATTAAGCGTCTGGTCGAGGCCGGCGTGACACTCAACCTTGACAAGTGCAAGTTTAGCACAGACAAAATTAAGTTCCTCGGACACGTCATTAGCTCCCGCGGAATTGAGGTGGATCCTGACAAGTTGCATGCAGTCGCAGCTCTCCCGCCACCTCAAAACGTGCAAGAAGTGATAAAATTTCTGGCCATGGTCCTGAAAAGACGGGGAACTCCTTTGCAAGGGAATCAGTGGACATGAGGAACTGAGCAAGAGAAAGCGTTTGAGTATATCGAAGCTGACCCCACACGAGTTCCATTACTGGAGCTTTATGATCCTGACAAGGACACCAAGATAGCAGCTGATGCCTTTTCCTATGGTCTAGGCGTAGTAGTTCTTCAACTCTGATAACTCCTGTCAACCAGTTTCCTTCATGTCGAGAGCGATGACTCCCACCGAGACTAGATATACGCGGATAGAAAAGGAGGGGAGTACATCAATCTCTGTGGACACTGACCATAAACTCCTCGTACCACCTCTGAGAACGCACACACTGGATCAACTCCCACCGAGGACCCAGCGATTCAGAATGCGACTGATGGGATTCCACTTTCAAGAGATCAAGCACGTTTCTGGGAAGAAGATGTACATAGCCGATGCACTTTCAAGGTTTCAGGCCAGAAACAAAACAGCTCAGTCTGCAATTGATGACGATGAAATGTACGCACACATAGAAAGTGTGTTCTCATCGCTGCCTGCCTCAGATACGAGACTATTGCAGATAAAGGAAGCACAGGAAGAGGATCCTGTTAGCAGACAGATCAAAACTAATTCTCCTCAGGGATGGCTTGACAAACATTCGCTAAACGATATCATGAAACCGTATTGGTCGAGCAGAGGTGAATTGTTTGTCGTGCAGGGCATTCCACTCAAAGCATCCAGGATCCTTATCCCATCCTCCATGCGTCTTGAGATCTTGGAAAAGATCCATGAGGGACATCACAGGAATCACCAAATGCCGCGAGCGAGCCAAAAACTCTGTTTGGTGGCCAGGACTCAGTGAAGAAATCCAGGAACTGGTTCAACAATATAGGGTCTGCGCTTTGCATAAGGAAAAGAAGCCCGAACCGCTTATAGCAACACCCTTACCAGACCGCCCCCGTCAAGCCGTAGCCACAGACCTCTTCGAGCTGAAAGGTATCGACTACTTGATTGTAACAAACTACTTCTCAAAGTACATAGAAGTAGCAGCCATGAAGAAGACGACAATGTCAAGTGAGGTTATAAGAGCAATTAAGTCGATATTTGCCAGACATGGCATCCTCGAACAAGTGCGATCCGACAATGGTCCTCAATTTTACAGTACAGAATTCTCATACTTTGCAAAAAGTGGGGATCCAAGCGTATTACCAGTAGTCCGAGATTTCAAACGAAGACATTGATCGTGGAGTTAGAACCATGAAAGATCTGTTCTCGAGAGAAAGAGACCCAGGTAAAGGATTATTGGCCTACAGATCAACGCCACTTGCATGCAAGTTCTCTCCTGCCCAGTTGCTGATGGGAAGGGAGATAAGGAACAGTGTTCCAGTGTTCCATACTTCCAGCTTAACCTGCAGTGGCCTGATCCGGAAAAGCTACGTGGAAGAGAGAGCATGAGCAAGCATAAGTAGCAAACAGTGTTAAATAGCAGGCACAAGGCAATACTTTTACCTCCGATTGGACCAGGTACGATAGTCTTTGTGAAGGACCTTCAGCGTTCAGAAAAAGTAATCGAAGCAACAGCAACAATCTGGTCATATGAAGTTGAGACACCAACCAGCACGATTAGAAGAAACCGCGTTCACCTAACCCCACAGCCAGATCAGCGGGAAAATCAACAACTAGAAACAAGTTTCAGGAGAGAGCCAAGCTGCAACACCTATTCGGAAGGACGTGTTTCTAAAAGAGACTTTCGAGTACCCCTGTAACACCTAATACTGCTACTAGGCCTAAGCGAGTTATAAGAACATCGCTCAAAGTCGGAGAAAATCTAGGTTTTAGCATTATAAGACACTGTGTTAAGAGATCTGATTTAGGCTGTGACCATGACTTATCAGGCTTTGTGATGTTGTGTTAGCTTACATGAAATATGTACGTACAGAGGATTCTGGGATAGAATAAAAGATGGCGTTCTCTGCAGAACACGTGTAGTAGTTTGACCCACAAATAACATAACATAAGGGACTGTCAAACAATTATTATGTACGTCATAAAGGAGGAAATAAAAGATACGATAGTACTAGAAGTCTTTAGCTGTTTAAGAAATTATTTGTCATGGGGGATTTCACTGAATTTTGTTCTTTCCTTACAGACCAGTTAAATTTGTTCGCTACGATTTGTCACAGAAATATTGTAATGAAAATATTTAAAGGGTTGTGAATGTACTTTTTATGAGGAATTTCAACCTCAACGCTCTAATATTATGAACGAAAGTAATTTTCTGAGTTTGTTTTGTCTATCACTGCACTCACCGACGTAATGTATGGAATTTATTTTGTTTAACGCCCTCGAGGCAATGTTAGTTTTAGGTATTAACCGGTTTTATATCGCATCGTGAGTCGATATGTAATTGCGTGAATTTGAAATCTGAATGACACATCTCGAATGTAAATTATTGAAAATTATCCTGGTGTTAACAATTCAATGAACGGTTGGAAGTCTACCATAATTTTTCCAGTGACGAGCTCTTCAACATTTCGAGAGATTTGAATTATTTTGAAAGATTCTCTTTTCGACTATAATTCCAAAGAGACTAGCTTTGGTAGTTTACCGCGAGGTGGGCCAACCGCGCAGTCAATCAGTTTCGTATTGTATATTCTCGACTGCGGTGCCGTATATTTGCTTTACAAGTAAACATGAGATATCGTGACTCTTTTAGTTTTGTTATTTTTCTGTCTTGCCTAACTGATATCCCACGATGATAGATCTTCAATGGTACCTTACACTCCACAAATTTATTTACAACTGGTGTTACTGAAGCCACACCTTATTTTATAGCTTATTTTATAACTCAGTTTTTAGTCTATATTGGTATTTTTTTAAATTATGGTAATAGCCCAAACAGGTTTTCCTCACCAATCAATAGGGTTATGTTATTTTGGTATTATCCTTCACCAGGGAGCTGCACCTTTGATGAGAGCACATTTTGCAGCTGGTCCAATGAAAGATACACCGACCATTTCGATTGGGTTCTTGGACAAGGAAGTTCTCCAGGCAGTGACACTGGACCAATCACTGACTACGCAGGTACATTACGTGTTTTATATTTCTACCCAACGTACCCTTTGAAATGAGGTACCGACTAGAAAACTTTATATCCTGATGAATTAAGACCATACTTGTATCTTAATGATTCGCACAGTTAACTAACAAAATTATGCCATTTTGATTTGAAAAGCTGAATTGTATACGCAGTTTGATTGGATCTTACTCATGATCTATTAACAGCTTTTAACTTTTTCTATCAAACGAAACAAATAGATTCCATGTTGCCGTGCGTCTCGCTACAAATAAATACATCGCAGACGACATCAAAATATGGCGGGAATAACAATGACACGCACAGCTACACCCGGGTCCCCCCTTTTCCAATTTTTGTTACACAGAATATTCACACGGTTGTAAGGTTTTCCACGTGTATTTTTCACTGATGAAACATAGCATTACAATCTTTTATTTTTTCACATGGATCGACTCACATGCACATAATTTTTTTGCATACGTCATATGACGTCTACCAGGATATCTTGTCCGCCGGTTATAAATACTATTTCGGCTATTAACATAATTTCCTCCAGGAAACGACAGAATTTCACCACTTAACATTTAAACCGCATTTTGACGTGTTCTATTATTGGGCATATACCTGTTAAACTGATAGGGGATGTATTAAACGCTTCCTCAGAAAATGGCTCGTATATCTACATTCAAACGTTATCTCCTCGAAAGTACAACGAGAAGGCCAGATTGAAAAGCCCGTGGATGTGGGGTCCACTGTTGATGACGTTTTTCTACTCAATGTACGGCAGTACCATTGAGACTCTCTCTGTATATGTTAGAGTCAATGGCAGTGAATCCAGGATATGGAGTCGTCATGGGAACCGCTCTTCACGCCATTGGATCGAAGGCTGCGTGGCTATTAATTACGAAGGGACTTATCAGGTAGTTCAACAAGCCAAGGCAGACCGATGCATGACAACACCTGTGTGTTTGTGTGCATAAGACGTTTTTTCCTTAAGGAAACATTAATATTAAAATTTCGTGAAAATGGACCGAGTGCTTTTTATTCTTCATCGGAGAAGACCAGAAGATTTTCCAGTCAAATGCGTGTACAATTAAGTTGCATAAGGATCCATAATTCATGACTGGACCCTCACCATGCCTTCCTATTTTCTCATAGGTGGTAATAGAGGGCATTGCAGGTGTGACTTCTGCATCAAGTATTGCAGTTGATGAACTTAATTTCAGTGAGAACCTAACTTGCGTTTCAGATGTTGACATTACTCCATCTGAACTCTTTAAAGGTAATACTGCTCTTGTGTTACTAAAAAAGAAGAAATTTGGCTTGAATTGTATTAATTAGGTTTCTTTTCGTTTGCATCGAGAATACTCGTGTCGTTTCCTGATGAGTCAAATAGATTTCTCAAGGCAAAAACTTCAGGGAAGAAAACGTTTCTTCACCTACAACCTCAAAATAAAATGAAAACCTTTGCTTTACTGTATGAGGAAACGTAAGTTGTTCTTAATAACAACTGAAGTAAATACGATGTAAATTAATCGAAAAATTGTCTTCCGAAACCGCATTTCATCGCCATTTTTTGATGCAATTTCAGTGAACTGTACCTTTAAGGAGAGTTTTTGTGGATGGCGAAATCTATTTGCACCTTCGGATCAAATCGACTGGAGGAGAGGATCAGAAAACTCAAGTGGACAAATTGAAGCGAGCGGTAATCTCACTGGCAAGTAAAATATGCCACCACCATTGTATTTTTAGTGTCCCCCACCTTACAAAACATGCTCAACTTTACGGCTCTGACGGCTTCACCACCCACGATCATTCAACTATTGCTAATATATTTACCTATGATGAAACGGTTATTCCTTAATGAAAAGGACAAAATCCATCAACTTAATTTAGAATTATCATTGTCACCAGACGTATTTTGATTCATTGTCGAAGAAAGTTAGCGTCTTTTACCGTTTATTATTCATCTATTCATTTGTAATTCTATGCTTATGCCTTTCTTTTCAGTATCAAGAGGAAGAAAATACATTTATATCGAATCACATCCTGACAAAGTATATCAAACCGCTCAGTTATCGAGTCCATTTCTTCGGGGACCAAAATGTTTCCGCTTTTCTTATCGCTTGTCCGGACGTGATGTGGGAAGGCTGGATGTCTTACTTCAACTTCGAGGGCGACAAGGAGATTACTTGATGTGGAATAAGTCAGGAGATCAGGGAAGTCAGCGGATAATGGCTAGCGTCGATATCGGTTATACTGACGATTGTCAGGTATACACACATTCTAAAGGCAGAAAACAATGAGATGATATTTAATCTTCTTTATATAACTCTGGCGTTTTCTATGATCCCGAGAATTGAAATATGAATAGATTTATCTGTCACTGTAGTATAAAATAGTAAGGAGTAGTGCTCCTAGTCCTGTGTCCACCTTGCCCACTGATAACCTTTTCAAGCAATTAGATTAGACTGCACTGTCCCAAAATAAATAAATAAATAAGATATAATATCAATGATAATTCTTATCACAGATTGTTCTGCAAGCAACAGTTGGCAAAAACTACACAAGTCATATAGCAGTCTATGACGTCAACTTAGTTGATGGACTATGTCATGACGAGAGGGAACTTAGCACCAACGTACAAGGTTCTTCTCATGCTTCTGTTCAAAGTATTACAGAACCATTCATGATTCTCTCGCGTATATTTCTTGATGGTCTGTTATAAAATGCACAGTTTCCGAACTTTTGTTATAAATTTCTTATTTGTCAACTTTAAAGATAACGGCTATCACATCTTTTATTTTTAGGGAATTGTAACTTCGATCGTAACTTGTGCTTTTGGAGGAAAGATTTAAATTTTATCTTCGCATGGAGAAGAAAAAAAGGCCGGACAAAAAGCCCTCAGACTGGACCTAGCAGGGACCATACTTCAGGTAAAACGAAGTAGTACTTTTGAAGACTGGTATTTTCGCATGCGGGGTAAATCACTTTAAGCAGAGATGGAAGGTATAAAACTTGATCTAAGCGGTCATAACATAATTGCTTTGCACCGTGCATGCTCAAAAACGAATGAATGAAGATTTAGCAACTGAATCAGAAAAATTAGATTGTACTAGTATTTGCTACTCTAAATGAAGAATTTGTGCTTGTAATACTCGTTTTTCTATCGAAAGGATCTGGTTATTACATTTATATTGAAACATCGGGACGGAGGAAGATGGGAGACACTGCAAGGCTCACGAGTCCGTGGCTAAGAGGACCACATTGCATGATGTTCTACTACCACATGTATGGCTCGTCCATGGGATGTGTTGTTGTGTACATAAGAAGACAGGCTGCAGACAGATTACAACCGCTTTGGCTGAGGTCCAAGAAGCAAGGAAACAAATGGATTCAAGGGCAAGTTAGCATAAACGATACTTCAAGTTATCAGGTGGGACGTCACTTTTTGAATCATAACCTCTGCCCAAGGTGGCTACAGTCAGAATAGATTTATCGTTTCCACTACAAAGAGAGTTCTCCTATGACTTCTGCCATTTTAATTGCGCTGTTAATTACAGCAGTCTTACCAAGTATACGATTTTCGTTGGGATCTAATAATCAAGGTTCAGTGACAGGTTCAAAACTCAGGGAGATTAAACGCTGGCTGCAATATCATTCTCCAGAAAAAAAAAATAGGACTTCTAAGATTTTCAACAGACGGGAGAACTTTGATGTATAAAATAAGTTGTCTCTCACCTCGTTTACGTGAGATCTCATGATAGCTTGGAAGTCTTCTTCTCTGTCATTTTTAGATAATAATTGATGGTATTAGAGGGAGAAGCGGTAGTGGAGACGCAGCCCTGGACGACTTCACGTTTCAACACGGACATTGTCACCAATTAAGTACGGCAATATCAATATCTTCTTTCGATTATATGGAAATAATTTGGGCACATGATAACGGTGTTTACTTCATTTTCAATCTATGGAGCAGTACCTTAATGTGGTTTTTTCAGTTTTGTGTTTATTGACGTAACTGCTGGAATTTGCTAAGTTAGTTTGATCGTTTGAAACTTCGCTAAGAATCGCTGTGAGGCAGACTTTGACATAAAAAGCATGATCCATGATTCCATTTGAATTTATTATTTTAGGTAAAGCAACGTTCTACGTGTCTTCCACCATGGGGAAAGATTTCAGAATATCGACAAGACCCTCTGAAGACAATCGGTACTCGGACGAGTTCCGATTCAGTATCGAACATCCCCAAGGATATCCGACAGAGAAGACTTTTTTCATCTACCCTTATGCAAAGGGACACAGCTTCGTTACCACAAAGCTAGATATTTTTAACTATAATAACTATCCCTTGGATGTTGCTGTCCTCAATCACAAGGATTTGTCACTGAATTGCAGTAAGATTTTTTTCATTAGCAGAGATAGAGTTGGGCCTATGATCACTCTTGAAGATCCTAGTCTAATGGATGGTTGCAAATGCGAGACGAATTTCTTTTTTTATGCCTGCAATGTGGTTCAATCAGGTGAGGATGAGGAAAAGACTGTTTAAATGAAGCCTGAAAAATGTTTCTTTAGGCTACATACTTTGAGGAAGCAATTTTTTCACGCCCGATTTTTGTTTTTCGCACCATAGAAAAACGAGAGAGAAAGAGAGATTGACAACAAGGTTGAGGTCCCTATTCAATTGATGGAAAGTCATGTACATGATTATTTTCTAATTTTCTCACTTATTTTAAAGCCAAATTTTAGTATTAAAAAAAAGATCATTCGTTGAAAGATGGGAATTGTGCGTAAACCAGGCAAGTTACAAACCAGAGTGAGTGCCAGTTGAATGGAGAAAAAATCCATGAAATATTTTCTTTGCAGAAAGCCGTTCTATTTCTGGATGTGAACCTGGTTGGTACAAACTAGGAAAAGCATGTTTCATGTTCTATTTCCAATCATCTAAGGCGTGGCGGATTGCACGGAACCTGTGTCACAAACAGAAGAGCGAAATCGCTATAGTCAATAGTGCAGAGCAACTAGAGGCCCTTGCAGATAAGCGGAAAAAACTCAAGCGTGAATACCGCGATCTTACACTTGGACTTGATAGCAACCTGCGTTGGGTTTGGATAGATGGTGAGAATGCAAAGAGTAATGAAAATCTATGGGGGCCAAATGAACCAAGCGGAGACGGTAAATGTGGAGCTTTCTTAAATGCAATTGAATGGAATTCAAACTGGGCTGGGTACGGATGGCGCTGGAATGATATATCCTGCAGGAGCCGTGAAGGATATATTTGTGAGGAACCATTAGGTATGTGATTTAGTGGATGATGTATAAATCAAATTAGTCTACCCCTCTCTTCCAACCGTTTACTATGTTTGTTCTATGTAAACTTCACTTGACTGGAGGAAAAAAAACACTAGGTGATTTATAGTTTTTTGAAATTCCTTCGAACTACTTTTTTTCAAAAAGACTTCTCGCAATAGACAATTATGTAGCATAGAGATTGTTTTCATCTGTTCATGATCATTTGAAAGTCGATGGAAAAATATTGTTCACATATCACAAATCTGTTTACTTTTTAAGACGTCCCCCTACCTGTGGCTCTCTTTTCTACCAGTCGCACCAATGGAGTTGTTAACCTGAGTCCAAATGGAACCACTAAAGCAGTGTTTGATAACATCACGCTGACTAGAGGTCCCTGGGGTAATCCAGTTGGCTCCTTTCTCTTCAGTGGTTTGAATAACAGCTACGTGGAAGTTGAAAATGAGGGAGAACTTGATACAACGTTTTCGATGAGTGTTTTTGCATGGGTCCACCCTGACGCTTCTGCCACTCGTGCTGGTCCGATATATGATAACGGTTGCTCGATGTGGGTTTTTCCTTCAACTTGGGGACTTGAAACTCGTTATATGGTTAGGGATCGTTCTAAGATTCACCTATTGCGTAAGGATGGTGTTATCAAAATAAATGAGTGGAATTTTATAGGGACCACATACGACTATCACACTGGCGTTGCGTCTGTGTGGGTTAATGACAGCATGGTTATGAGCAAGTCTCTTGGATCTAACGTGGAATTGGCGACTCAAGGAAATCTTACCATAGGAGCGTCCAACAATCGTGAGACACAATTTTATGGCAAAGTTTCCTGCTTGCAGTTCTACGCACAAGCATTGTCCGTGGATCAAATTATGAAGATAAAGACAAGATGCAATCAAACCAGTAAGCATGTCTAATAAATGTCTGCTTGGACCTTGTTTTCTCAAAAAGGCAAAATTTATACCCAGTGACGTTGTTTCAAGAACCAGCCAATTTTTATTTTAATTGACCCTAGTGTGTTTTCTTGTATCAGTCTTCTCTTTACCATGGAGTTACGTTTTAGCCTCTACTGTTATTTTATTTTTTGTTTTGATCTCTCTCTCCCTTTCCCGATTTCTTTGATTCGTCTAATCTGCCCTTGTAGGCAATGCCTAAGATTCAGCTGTATAAATTACAGACTCGACGTAAGCCATTTATTCTTGAAACGTTTACAATTTTAATTTGGAGACACCTCTTAAGGTGATTCTGTTTGATAAGTATGACAAGAGTGATAAATGCAGTGAAGACGGCAGAGGAGGGCCTTGGGCAAACAATGTTTACGCATTTAGAGGTGGGGAAGATCTCTTTTGACGTCTGTGCATTTTATGGGTCAATTTGCAATTATGTAGTTTAGTAGTAAGGCCAAATAAGATTATTGAATTATTGATATTGTCGTCGATGACAAAATTTCAAACATTAACAAGCCACTTTCATCCACTAAGTAGACCCAATATTGAAACTAAAAGCAGAGCAACGCGTGATTGTCATTCCTGATAATTGTGGCGTGTACTTCAATCAAAAACTATAGAATGGCTCTGTTGACATTTTTTTTTTGTTTCTTTTCCACTAAGTTTCCCAATCATGGTGCCGTCCGGGCTTTTTTCCCCTTCATGGTGGTTGTTATTTTATACATCCCTCAAAGGAACTTAACTGGCAACAGTCTTTGAGGAAGTGCAATCGAAGCGGTGGAAGCTTGGCCAAGATAACTCGTGAAGGTTTGAGATCCACTTTCTCCAATTTGTTAGAAGAAATAAGACGCTTCAAGCCATATTATAATAGTTTCTTCATTGGCCTGTTGAGCAAGGACGAGTGGACATGGATTGACGGCAGCCCGTTACATAGCTCGTTGTGGAAGCCAGGATATCCAAAAACAATTAAAAAAACCCGTAGCTGTGGTTATCTGGCTGGTGGCTCATCGGGGATAAGAAGTGGTGCATGTACATTGAAGAGATACCCACTGTGTCAGAAAAAAGCTGGTGAGTTCCTTACGAAGGAAAAGTTTTGGTTTTTCAAACCTCTCGTACAATCATAACAATTGAGAAGGTTATTTGCTAAATATAATTGTGACATTTCTACTATATTATAGAAGAGTCGTTGTCAAACCGGAGTTTGATAAGATGTTCAAGTATTTTGCAGCCATTCCAACCTATCCTGGCCATAGATGGATCTTACTCTACTTGCTTTCGTTCTTTGAAGGTCAGTAACGACATTGGTTGCTTAATTCGCGTGCTAAATCTGTTGTTGAGTTTTTCTGGATCGAAACCTGAAGCAGAATTTCCTACCATTTAGTGAAAATAGATGGACTAGAAATGTCATCTGTTCTGGCTTGAGCAAAATATTTTCCCCTATGTTTTATACATTGCTTTTTACGTTCTCGTCGGTTTAGGAATCAAATCCCTGGTGGCAAGCAACTTTTAACAATCTGCTGTATGTCGTTTCTGTTTCTATAACTGACAAAATCGATTGCTGTCCACGTGACTCTGGAATCATCGATGTTAGTGTGACAACCAGTCAAACTGGCTTGTCTCCAACATGCTCCAAATCGATGGCATACGATGGAACAACGCATGAGTTCATTTTTGATTTCTCACCACCCGCGCTTGGAAATAATGTGAAAATAACGCTGACGGGTGATAATGTCACGTTAGTTCTCTGCCGTGTTGTCGTGGAAACAATTGGTAAGTTATTGAAAGATTCCTTTAATTTTTTTTTGGCCCATACGTTTTTGTTAGTGAGGGAAAGAAGAAGCTAATCAAGCTTATTTTACATTCTTTGGTATCAGCCTTCGCACTTATAATCTTTGATAAAGAGGTGAGCCAACGGGATGTAAGGGTATTCCATTCAGCAATTTTACTTCGGCCTGTGTCATTTAAAAATGGGCGGGAGATATCTTTTTGGGGGGCTTCTCTGCTTGTGAGAGTAAACATATTTGTTCAATGTTTGACTTAATAGAGTCGACCCGAGAGGTACACGGAGTTTTGCGTGAAGGATGGTACAAAAAATACGACTATAACTCCAAAAAGACGTCATCTATGCGTGAATATCCTCTAATTCAAGGTCCACCTGAAAGCCGGATTATTTTGCGAGATTTTGATGCGCCAATAAATTTGGCAGAAAACTATGTTCAACGATTGACAAGTTACTTACAGGTAAAATCTCATCATAGCGAACGTATTTTTGCACTCACCTGAGATCGATTGTTGGGCTTTTGATGCGTTGTAAGGTGCACTTTTCCTTTCGAAAAGTAGGGAGTATCTCAATTGAAAGGTAGTATGAAAGAATCACCGTAATCATGCCTTTTTTTTAAATGTTAAGATTGAGTTTGTTGTCGGTGTCGCTGCTGTTTATGTTGTTGGTGCTATCACTTTTTTTATTAAAAGAAAATATTTGATAGAATTTGACGGAGCAGGCCAATTGTGAAATGCTGTTTCAGGTTTCTCTGAGCGGAAACTACACATTTTATGCGGCGTGCGACGATATGTGTGAGTTATGGAAGTACGATGTCACAGAGACAGGCATCGGAAGAGTTAAAATAGAATCTGGGGAAAGTGCAACGAACCAACCAATTATTTATGTTAAAAAATGGACAGAATATCTTCGATGGGACAAGTAAGTGATGTGCAAGTAATACATAACTATGATAAGTACTTTTTTCATTAATTAAAATGATTTTGGTGACATTTTTAGTCGTCATTAGAATTGATATAACTTAATTACTTTGTTATTGAAGGTACCCAGAGCAAACATCTCAGCCAATCGTCCTTAGCAAGTGTCGATTTTATCGAATGGTGATCTTCGGTGGAGAAAAAGACGGCAATGATCACATATCTGTGGGCATGCGTAACCCAAGTGGGGAATATGAACGGCCTATTACTGGAGAAAGACTGTTTTGGACTAAACCAGGTAGGGACATTCTGATTCGTTTATTTGGTTAAAGCAGAAAAAGGAAACGAAAAAGGAAACAAAGTTAGGGAGAAAAGCATGAACAGAAAGTGCTTCACACTCATAAAAAAGGAAGACAAACAAGCACACACACAGAAACAAAACAGACTGTTTAATACAACGATTTATTTATGTCTCTCTCATGGACCTAGACATCTTTACTATGAAGCTGAAGCTCATAACTTCTCCTGGGAGCTACTGGAATTTCTTTTGTTCGGTGCCACTATTAAACAAAGAAACAAAAGAAAAAAGACGTATTAGGAGACAAATATCTTCATTTCCAAGACTTTTTTTAATTGAGGTGTAAAATTTTCTTTCTCTTCAAAGGGACGCGTAATTTAGAAATGTCACTTAAGAATCACAAGACATCGATATCTGCCTTCGTTGGGTCAAATTTACTCATAACAGGTTGGTTTACTGGTATTATCCTATATCTACGAGGATTGTCTCACATTTTAAAATATGGGGAACCGGGAAGATTTGAGTGATGATGTCGGAATCGATCCCTCCAAAGGAAGCTGGAGCTCTTTCTCTTTTCTTTACATAAATTATCATCATGTGATTGAGAAAAAGTTCGTGGCCGGTACTATGTGACGTTTCAGAAATATATCAATTAAAGAATACCTCTCTTAACTGAGACGCAACACTGCGTCGAAAAAGCCTCGAACAACATATTTGGAGACATTTGATGATTGCTAACTCGAAACGTGTGACTAGGATTAACTTTACTAGAGAAGAACGGTAGACTGTCTGTTTAAACTTGCGAGTAGAACTTTAAGCCCGACGATCAACCACTTTGTACTCATATTTTGGGGTGTTATTGATGAATCTATTCTCATAAGCTGCGGTTTCGCCAAGAAAAGTTGTAGACAATAAAACGGGTCCATCATACAACATGTTTGGTCAAATTATAGGATATTACAAGTTTTGCTGTGAGGGAGTTTATTGTCCTGATTGCCCATTGGAACTGAACATCTCATGCCTCGGACAAAATCTAAAAGTGAATTCAGCAGTGAGCCTGTCCTGTGTTAACACATCATTTGAGGTAGTTTTTAACACGATCGGTCAACCTGGAAATTTTACTTTGAAGGTGAGTAGCTCTCATTTAAGTAGTTATCATCATTTAAGTGATGATTCCTACTACATTTACGGCAAAAAATTCACAAGACACCATGCCATGCTTATTTAAAAAAATTGGTAATAATATGAATCATAATGAAGCAAACTTTGAAATTGTAGGGGTTCGTTTTTCATCACTCTTTTGTTTTAGTTTTATTCATTTATATTTTCGTGTTTTGATCACTGAATTGGTCATCGGTATCAGTGGAAACACATTGATCTTAACTATCTAAGAGTCTGTCGACCCCATCACCTTAAAAATAGAAGTAAAACGTACGTAGTCGAAACTTTGTGGCCCGCACTACATCGAGACAAACGAGCATTACTTGTGCATTAGCCAGGTTGGATGACTACAAAATCTTTTATTTGATAAGAACAAAGCCTTAAGATAAAGCAAAGTGGTGCATGCACGAGCGATAAGCCTCACTGAACTGGAACCTGTGATATTTAAAAGTTGTAAACCATACGCTGTGATTATTTTCAGGCCAGCTATTCATTCGTGGAACATCCAGAAGAAATTCTCGAGGAGCGAGTCTTGGGACAAGTAGATCTAAGAGGTAACTCCTTTTGCACTGACATAAAGGATTAAAAGAATTACTGTGTCGGTGTGAATCCGTGAATTTTGCTCTTTAACCACTGCTAACGGAGATTTACATTTTGTGTTTCTTCAAAAGCGGTGGTGCTAGAAGAATGCTACTTTGAGTCTGGAAAGTGCGACTGGACTAGCCCACATGCAAATTCCAAGTGGAAGCTCTTTCCTGGTAAGAAATCAATAAAATACCTCAGTAACTTTAAGTACTTAAGAAGAGAAGGGCAGTACTGCGAGCAACAGTTAAGTTTTTTGCCATTGACTTGCTTTTCTTGCAAACAAAAAAAACACCTTTGAATAAGTTATTACGCTACAAAACACTCGCTAAAGGAAATAATGATTGAATGATGGGGCTGAAATTAAAGAGGTCTGAAGGGAATTGGTAAAGACTATGATGCCAAATTCAGAATCTTTTTGGTTAAACGTCGCTACTGATAGAAAAAAGTACCAAAGAACATTTTATGCTATAAAATTTACTGTACACATTTTTATCTTAGATAATTTTGTCTACATTAATGGCTCTTACAAAGCGCAGTTACAGAGTCCAGTGTTACTATGGGAACCATTTCATCAAGTCGTTGGCTTGTGCTTACGGTTTACTTACCTTATACCTGTTAAATCAAAGTCAACTATAAAAGTTCTACTTCGAGAGCCAAGGAAAGAGGAGCCGATTTTAGCTTGGCAGCTTAGTGGATACCATGGTATTAAATGGTCAGTGGCTGAGGTGTCTTTGCCCGGCGCTACTGCAGTTCAGGTCAGTAAATTATGACGATGAAATTTATTCGATTGAATTCTTCATTTATTTCTAAAGTTCATATTTTATTTTTTTTTTATGAATATTTGATATTTGCTATGACAGGCGATGATACGTACTTCATGAATCTTTTTGTCTAGATTATATTTGAGGGAGAGGGCTTTCTTCATAACCAAGTAAATGCAGCAATCAAGAACGTGATTGTAACTACCGAGAAATGTGGCTTGCTACCATACTTTGCAAAACCAGGTTATATTTGCCGCTTTTCTTTTTTCTACTGTTTTTTTGAGTTGCTGGTTTTGAGCATGACAAGATTGTGTAAACCTTTAACAAAAAAAAGCAATTATCAATGACATCACTGATTCTTCAATTCACATAAAATAAAAGGCTATATTAAGTTTTCATGCATCTCATGGATGATAAAGAGAAAAGAAAGGAAAAAATCGTATGTTTTCTTAGCTTTTATTGATAGCATTGGATTTTCAGGTTTTAGTTGCGGGAATAAACAGTTTCAATGCAAGAATGGCGAATGTGTCAAGAAAAATTTGCGATGTGATGGCGACTTTGCTTGTACCGATGATTCAGATGAAGATAATTGTGAATGTCCCTCGAATAAGTTCGCTTGCCTGGATGGAAAATGTCTTCCAGCATCAGCTGTATGTAACGGCATAAATGACTGCCCTAATGGAGATGATGAAAATAACTGCCGTGAGTAAATGTGCCTTTGCCATTCACTTTTTGAGTCTTGATTTAATTAGAGTGAAACTCGCTATTTGCCCTTCCCATCTATGTATGCTGAGTTGCATTTCCAAAAAGATTGGAATTACTGCTTTTTAGGGAATAAGTGCCCCTTTAAGCATCGCTGTCTTGATGGATCATGCATTGCTTGGTCAGAGACCTGTATTCGAGAGCCTTTCTGCAAGGATGGAACTAACACTCCATCAGTTTGCGGTAAGTAAGGCATAGAAAACTTCTTAACCAACAAGGTTGATTTTTTGAAATAACACGTTCTTGCATCGAAAGCCTGAGATTTCAGGCCTCTGTTATGGTCTCGTCGTAATCCATTTATGGATGAAAGATCGCAAAATAAGTCATGTGAGTCGCAAATGGACATGATCATAAGGTGTTAGAAATAAAAGCTGCGTCTTCGTAAAATTATGGTTATTATCTTCTAGTCTACTAGCGTAATAAACGACAGCGATGTTTCTGAAATGTTCTAACTGCGAGAGGCGTCCAGTATGTACATTTTTGTCTTGATCAAATTCTTATGAACTATTGAAGACAAATAAGTATCTACTGGGGAGGGAAGCTTTCGTTTACGTGGATAATTGATCCCGTCGTTGGCGGAATTAATCCTTGGAGCGTGACAGTGAAGTAAGTAGCATGTTTGATGGAGTCGATAATTTGCATTGCAGGATCTGGGAAATGCCGCCTTAACGACTTAGCGTGTTCATCCAAAGAGTCCAAAGGACCAATTAGATGTACATCTTTCAGAAGTAAGTCCATGGCTCTATTAAAGCCTCTAAATAAACTCAAATTTAGCGCAGAGAGAGGAATAATGCAAGTTATAAGACACTTGCGCCAGCGGTGGCTTGTCACCGTTGCGTTAGGGGAACGAAGATAGAGGGAAGACTGATAAATTTCTGAGGTTATTTATCATGAGTCATAATAATCCATTAGACATCTCCTAACTGCTGTCTTTTCAAATAGGGTTTTGCAATTTCGAAAATGACTTGTGCCAGCTTAATCCGGATATGAACGCCACTTTCCAGTGGATAACAGGTGCAGGTGAAACACCAACGGAGAAGACTGGGCCAAGTTATGATCATAGCACTTTAAGCAAAGACGGTAAGAGGTGAAATGAAATGTTCCTCTTACGTAGGAAAACAAATAATATCAGTCGGGTTACCAAACAGTGCATCTTACTTAAGATCCTTACCTAACTTGTTTTGCATGGTGCAGTGCGCCCAAGTTAGTACGACGGCTTATTCTCCTTGAGACGTTTTTGTTGGAAAAGTTCGGTCTTATATTTGTTTGGTGCCGTGGTACCGCTGAATAATAATATCAACGTAAAATCGTGAAATGGCGTCACGACAAGCTTTTTATTATCACGTGTACAAATTTGCTTTATGGTCACTCAAACTTTCTTCGGTGCTCTCACAAAAAGGCAATTTGGCATAAGTTACACAAAGAGAGTAATGAAGAACATTTGTTATTTCATAGGGTCGTATATCTATATCGAAGCCTCTCCGCAACGCCCTGGGGACGTGGCAAGGTTGTTAAGCGAATGGATGGAACCCAACCAATCAGCTTGTGTTCAGTTTTGGTATCATATGTACGGCTCAGATATCGGTAATCTGAGCTTTTATCTGAGGACTGATCAATCCGAGACATTGGTTTGGAGATTGTCAAGCGATCAAGGGGATCGCTGGAAGTTTGGTCAATTTCCTCTGATCAGTGAAAGGGCTCATAGGGTAAATAACGCTTAGCTATCAAACTTCTGTACCTTTCGTTTGAAACGTTAATCTTTATCTTTATTTTTTTGGCTGGAACTGTTCTGATTTTCTGAAAATCTAATTGAAAAAGCAGCTGCCAAAGTATGCACATAAATGTATATTGATCAGAATATTTGAAGACGGGTGAAATTTATTCGCTGATCTTGGCTTGGTGGTGAGCTGTTCTTAGTAATTCTCTCTCTCTCTCTTTTTTTACTTACTTTGAGTTATACGGAGATTAATAACGTTGATGAGAATGTTTTCACAAATCATATATTTTTTTATGCTGTTTGCAAAGTTTGTCATAGAAGGAACGACTGGTGATGGAAGTGAAGGTGACATTGCGATAGATGATATGTCTGTGCTGGATGGAAACTGTAAAAAGATTATTGCACAAGGTATGGATAAAAACACACAGGGGGAAAGCAAAGCAATGGTTTATTTACAGCAAAGACATTACTTGGCATAATTTTCATCGCCGCTACAGTTTTTTTTTACACCTAAAATATTTCGAGGCAGCCTCTTTAATGATCTACTAATAAAATTTACAAAAATTGCGGAGCGTGCAGCGTACTTAGCGTAGCCCCATACCTCAGCAAATTTGGTAACCTGTTCCGCTAGACAATTTTGGTCGTAACGCGATGTTCGTCGTCCGTCTGTCTGTATTCTCATTCACCCAAAAAGATTAACCATTCTTTGCATAAGCGAACAGCTGCACTTTTAACAAGGGCAAATGGCAATTTACGAATAGACGTGAAAGTCGATGAAGTTATGTGCTTGCGTGAGTCTATGACCAAGTCGCAGACCAAGGGTGCTAAATGTGGATGTAACTTTATGGAGTGCAAAAACTCAAGGTCTGCCTTAGCGTAGTGTAAGCACAAGTTAGACCTATTGCGTATCGGAAATCTTCGTAAGAGAGTAGTCTTAGATTAACAAACTTTGCTGTTTCAATGCAACATCGACCGAACCAATTTAGCTCTAGATATATTACCGTCCACTCACGAGGGTTTATTTAAAATTGAAGGCGTTTTCGTGCGACATAAATTTGTTAACAGCTGATTATGGCACAGACTTTGTTGTCAAGTATACGCACCGAACTCAACCCATTTTAGTTTTGAAAGACACCTGGACTTAAAAAAAAACGATGTCAGCCAAACGCATAGAGAAAAAACCACCGGAGGGTTTGATTGATGGTAGGAAGCTACTAAACTTAACCACTAAATTCCATTCGTTCTTATGAGATAGAATTTATGAATTCGATAAAAAAAGCTTTCTATCATTTTCTTTCAATCTTTAGATAGTCCAGACTGCAGTTTTAGAGAGGATACGTGTGATTGGGAGACTCGGGAAGGATGGACTCTCTCTAAACACTCACCTGATCCAGATTTAAAAAACTACGGTAGGAGTTTGTCATCAAATTCCAGACTTTTCATTCAATTTTTGTAGGCCGAGAAGCTGTAGTGAGGTTTATATTGATGAGGCCTTGAGCTACTGTATATCTCTTTTATTACAAGCTTTTGCCGATCCAAGTAAGGCATCGATGCCATAGATCGGCAAAAGCTTGGAATAAAAAATAAATTTAGTGACTCCATGCCTCAATCGAATCATTCATTTAATCGACATGATACTGATGGACAACTTCAAACTGTCTACTCAAATATTTTGAGAGTAGAAATAACACAATATGACATATTTATTGATTAATTAGACACTAGGCAATCCACATTGGACATACTTACTGGCAAGATAGCTGAGCGGCTGAAGGACAGACTTGCTCACAGACTGACTAAATGACAGACGAACTGAACCAGTGACGGACTGTTGACCGATTAACAGACATCAGCACTAAACATATTGAAAATGTCTCACATGTGAAATCGCTGTTAACCTCTTTCAGGCCATAATCAAATAGCTGAATTTTATTTCTTACGTCACTGTTAGGTCCAGGGGTATCATTTATTTTTCTCCGCGCCGGAGCATCTGAAGTGCCTCATACACTCTCTTCCCCAATTATAAACACTAACGAATGGAAGTGCTTACGCTTATGGTATTTCATTGGTGCCACAAACTTGTACAAAACGTCGTTACAGGTGTTTCTTCAGTCGTTAATATCGAACCTATCCACACTGCTCTTCTTTGTGGATGAAATGGCAAGTGCGACAAATTATACTCAGATACCGTTGCCAGGCAATTACAGCAAAGCAAAGGTACAAAAATGTAATTCTTGTTGGTATACTTGTGAGGAGAAATTTTTGCTGACTCCATGTATACAAGTTCACTTTTTTCTATTACAAGCATCCTTTATCAATTGTTGCAGACTGAATAATGTCTTATAAAGTACACTCCCCTTGCATAAATGTTGTAAGAAATTCCGACACTTGTGAAGTATGAACGTTTTCTTTCAACACAATACAGCTTAAATTCTTTGGTATTTATGAAGAGTTTGGGGACCAAATTCTGGCCATTGAACAAGTTTCCTTTTCTAAAGAGCCTTGTGACCCAATTTCTTGGCGACAAAATGGTGAGTTTACATGTTTAAGACTTGAAAACTAGGTTTTGTAAATTTTGTTTAATTCTGGACGCAGACTACCTAAGGGACGACTCGTTTATTACACAAAACTTTATACTAATAGCTTTAAATTAATTTAGTTTTAAAATTCGTTAAACTGTGTATCTTACTTTACAAAATCGCACCCCTCTGACGGAAACTTTTACTCGAAGGGAATGCCTGTTCGTCAAGTTAGCACTAAATCATACACTTATCTGTACATGTAATGTTTCTAAGTGTCGTAACATTTAATGTAATTAATGTCATAAAACCTCTAGATATTAACGAGCCCCTTGGAATGCAAAATGGTGAAATAGTAGACACGCAGATCAGTTCTTCATCATCAATAGACGAGGCTCATGCTGCCAGTCGAGGCCGTCTACACTTAAACGCAACTTCAGGAAAGGCAGGCGCTTGGTCCGCCGGCAGAAATGACAATAGCCAGTGGCTCCAAGTTGATCTGCGTAATAATAACGTCAGAGTCACGGGTGTTGCGACACAAGGGAGAAACGGACGGTACGCCCAGTGGGTAACGAATTATAAGTTACAGTACAGCAACGACGGGGTAAACTTCCAGTTCTACAAGAAACCTGAACATACCGCTCTTGAGGTGTGTACGAAATCTATTCAGCTGCCCACTTTTAATGTTCGTTATTCATTTTTTTAAAATGATATCAACCAACTCGTTTAATTGCTTTTTTGCCAAACAATAGCTCTATCAACTCTTAGAAGTGTTTTAAGCATGAACATGGTAAGTCTTAACATGCTTGATTCAACTATCAGCATCAATGACAATGAGACGATCAACTATCAGCATCAATGACAATGAGACGACATATATAAGAAACTGAATGTGCGTAATCTTTGTGACTTAACACTCTTAGTTATCATATGGTGACTTTGTGTCAAGAATAAATTTCAATACAATTAGTAGTTTAAAGAGCCACTATTTTGCTAATATAGGATTTCGCTGGAAACAAAGACCAGGATTCTGTTGTTTATCATGAACTAAAGTTACCTATTAGAGCACGATTCATTCGCCTTCAACCAGAGGCTTGGTATAGGCAGATATCAATGAGAGTTGAGTTGTATGGTCATCAAAAAGGTATGTTAATCAAAAGCGTGTGATTTTATCTTCAAATTAAAAAAATGTGAAACTCTTTTTGTGGAACCAGTATATCCTCAAAAGAAAACCAAAATAAACAAAACAAAAAAGGCATAACATTCCGAAAAAGAATAAATTATAGAGGTTCACCATGAATTTGATTGTGATAAGCAAAACCATGTGTCACCTCCATTCTCAAATAGAATGTCAGAAAGCTCTGGGTATGGAAGACAATGGAATCGCCGATGGGCAAATTCGTGCCTCTTCCAGCTGGGATGGCAACACTGTCGCTAGCCGTGGGAGATTATCAATTAAAGCATCTGGTCGCATGAGAGGAAGCTGGACGGCTTCTGCAAAGAATTCACATCAATGGCTTCAGATTGATCTTGGAGCCAACGATAATATAGTTACAGGGGTAGCTACTCAAGGAAGGCAAGATGCTGACCAATGGGTTACCAGTTACAAGCTTCAATATGGTAATGATGGATTTAATTTTCAATACTACAAGGATCAAGGTGAGGACAAGGTGAGCAAAAATTATATTGATTTAGGGAAACCTCCATGAACATCGAAAGTTGTAAAATAGGATCTGGATTAAAAAGGAAATTCTTAGCTGTTAAACTTAGTCATAAGTTTCAGGCATTACTCACAGTTTGA